TATGACTCACAGTCAGCCAATGAGATATTATCACTCTCATTTTATAGGTAAGGAAAATGTGACTCACAGTGAAAGTTAAGTAACTTAAGTTTACAATGAGAAACTAAAAGAAGTTAGGTCTTATAAAGCTAACCTTTATTGAACAGATAGTATGCTCTGGAGACTGTTCTAGGCTCTCTCCCATAGTAAGTCATTAATCCTTAACTACTCTACGAGGTAGGTACAATATAAATTTCAACAATGAGGAAACTGAACAGCAAAAGAGGGTAAACACTGGGTATCAAATGGTAATCAATGGGGCTGAGATTTAAACTCAAGGAGTTTATCCCTAATTCTCAACTACTGTACTATAGCGATTCCAGCATCTTTGACATCAAGCTCAAACTATTAACTGCCATGTGACCTTGCGTCGAATGAAACATTTATGCCATTGTGTTAAAAGTATATCTGTGTGTACATGCCTGAATTCCTAGGCTGTGGCTTTCTCATCACTGTGTATCCTACAGTGTCTAATTATCTAATACTGTTTTATAGACCTAGGTTTTCAATAAATATTAAAGGCATTTCACTTATGTACATTGCCTTAAATCAACAGAAAACTATTAAGAGACAATTTTCTATGAGTCTCTCACATTTCTGCACATCTTACAGAGGCAGTGACACCATATGTTCCAGATTATCTTCTCATCAATGCTCGTGTAGCAAATAGCCTTGAAAAACAGAAATAGTAGTTTCCTCTGGAGTAAAGTGCAAGTGTGCTTATAGCTTTAGGGAGTAGACATAATACATTCTCCAGAGTAAAAAATGGGTATGTGTACTGTGCATTACAAAAATCCAGATTCCCTAAACTCAAGATTACTCTCCTGTAACATAATTCATTGCTTATGTAAACATCTCTCTAGGTCTCCTGGGAGACTTGACACAAATAGGCAAGATCTGATTAAAAATAAACAAATAAAGAAAGAAAGAAATAATCCCATGCAAGTTGCTGCCCATGAGTAATAAACATCCTTCGTCTCCAACATAGGAATCTTAGGTCTTCTGCCATCATGCTAGGAACTGTAGCAGCTAACTTGTAAGCTTGCAAGTACAATCGAACCTTAGACACTTCAGAGATCTTGCCTAAAACAACTAAGGTTATGAAAACAAGTTTCCATAGTTCTCTATGGGTAACTAACACGTTATTTCTAAAGCAGAAGTTGGGAATTTTTTAAATGTTTAAATTATTCACTTATAAGTAATTTATTTCCTAGTGAAGACATGTGTTGTTTGATAATGTCTAAATAATATTTCTTTTAGAAGACCATAGAGAACTTCTAAACTATTGATAAATATTAATGAATTATCAGTAGTTGATAAATCTTAAGGATAATCTTAATGATAAATCTTATTGAATTCAATAAAAGTAGGAAAACACAGTTATAATTATGGTCGTTGAGTAATCATAGCTATAATAATGTTTTTAACCATGTCATAATAAATCTTCAAAGCTCATTTGAGAAATATCTATACAAATTTTCTGTTCTTTCTCAATTGTGCAGAGAAGATTCTGGTTTTCTTTTTTCTTGCCACACAAAAAAAGTCATATAATAAAAATAGACCTAGGTTATGAAGAAAATCAGTATTAAAACCATGCCTCCTCATTTATGCATTCATTCACTCATTCATTTATTCAACAAACATAGCTGAGTGCCAGACACTATGCTAGGCACTGGGACTCTAGTGATTGGTAAGACTCAGTTTAGTAGAGAAATGATTATGTATGTCTTCAACCAAGTGGCTTGAAATCTGTGGACCTTAAATTCCTCATCTATAAACATGTTTCATTGTATTTTATAAATTTTTGCACATTTGAAATCATAGGATTTTTTTTAAAATAAAAATTTTAAAGGCTACCTTGGATTGTAAAGGCTACCAAACCCATTATCACAGACCATGTGGCTCAAATCTAAATCGTAAAAGATTCAGAATGTTCAAAGGTATTTTTGTTTTTTAAACAAAATCCCTTATGCATCACTCTTGAGGGCATGAAAGACTATAAGGTAATGTTTGGAGGAATCATGTAACTCCTCCTCCTCAGGTTAGAAGACAGACGGATTTGTCTTCATTTCTAAAGGGAAAGAGGTGAATTCACTAACTAGTGAATTTAGAAGGAACAGGGACAACATGATTCTGTTCCTTCCATTTTTCTCCCCTCTGAGAATCTGTCCTCAGGATGCTCCAGTGTCTGCTTCTTCATTGCAGCAGTTCTACAAGGCAGGATTTACCCTTAAAGGACTTACAATGAAGGAAGAAAACATCCAATTTAGGGTGGATACATGCAAAAGTAAAAGTGTTAGAAATCCTAATTGCCTGCAGATTTAAGCCATGTTTTCCCAACTTTTGAAATATAAAGCTGACATACTGATCTCATCTATACGATTTTTATGTCTTATGTTTCCATTGTGTGACAACTTGCACAAAAATAAGGGGTGAGTTTTATTAGCCTCAAACCTCAACAGAAACAGGCTTCTAAAAAGTGTAAATAGTTTTTGCCTTACACTGTGACCAAATATAAAATAGTTGTCCCCAATTTTTTAAATACTTTAAGGAACGTCTCTATTACAAATTTACCAGAGAGGCACCTATTATATTTTAACTTAATGCTGGTAGCTCAATTATTGTTTTACATTTACTCTACTGTAGTAAAAAGTATATTTCAGATACAGTAAAAGTATTAGTCATTTGACTGAAATTGAATACTCAGTCAAATGCATGACAGATAAATTGATGGTTGAGAAAAGGTAAATGTTGAATTAATGATTCTAATAATAAATAGATGATGAATTAGTTATCAAATTGCACGCTTCCAGAAAGTAAGGACTTTCCTGTTTTTGAAAACCTTGTGTTCTACAGACCACCCCATTCAAAATATTTTAACACAAAGCTATTTCTTCAGTAAACGTTTGTTGAATATGTGTAGAAGTAAGTGAAATAATGCATAAGTTCATTCTTTATTCATTTGCTTTTCCCATTGGATCACTTCTCAATGGAACTTGTTATAAGATTTGAACATGTTTTTCAGTCCATATATTCCATTTACCTTTTTTAAAAAATTATATATTAGGAGAACAATAAACATGTATATGTCACTTCATTAGGAATAACATTCTACAACTTGTTAATATTATTGTAATGGGCAAAATAAAAATAAAGTTAGATTACATAGTGCTTCACCATCAAAGACAGCATTATATTTAATTAGACTCTGTGAAATGTCTATTTGATAGATAAGGAAACTGAGATTTAGAAAGATTAAATTAACGCTAGGATGTGGCAGAGTTGATTATTAAACCCAGTTCATTTGATATCAAATTCTCATTATTCAACACTGTGACTGCCTAAAACTAGATTTGAAATTAAGAAACTTCTATAACTGCTAATAATTATCAGCTGAGAGTCTAATCTTAGAGTTTGAATTTATTGAATTCTTACACTAGAGTAGAGAGCAAAGGTCATGAAGGCGGTATATGCTGCATAGTGCAAAGTAAAATGACAAGAAAACATCCTGCTGACAAAATGTCAGTAAGGAAAAAGTGGGGCTATTTTAGAAAAATAAAGGAATCATTTTAAACAATGCTGTAAGAAATAACAAACCACCTTCAATGGTATTGTTTGATCTTAAGAACCAAAGTTTTTAATTCTGGAAACTATTTTTTGAATGCAATTAGTATGTCATCAAGACTTTTGGATTATGCTCATGTTGTAGACTATACAGAGAACAGACAAGATTTTTTTTTCTTTCAACAAAAAAACATGGATTATCTATTTGATTGAAAGTGTTAAGCAAATGAAAAATCTTTAGCAAATACATAGAACACATCCTGAATCATTTAAAACAATGTTTCACCTAGTTTACATTTGAATGGTTTCAATCAGTACAATGAAACCTCTTTGACTGGGTATTAAAGTGTATAATAAATTAATTGAAAATAGTGGTAAAAACTATCCACAATATATATAATAATTTCAACATACTGGTAAATTTATTTTTTAATTTTAATATTGTAATTTTGATGAAAATTTCCATAGTGGAAAAAGTAAATAGAATTCTTTCAAATAAGTAACAAAAAAGAAATTAGATAAAGTGCATTGATATTTTCTTTGCAAGTAAAAATTATATCTTATATTGCAAATATATTTACCCACAATTGGGTAGTCTTTTTACAATTTACAGTATATTACTTTCCTCTTTCCTTCAGTTATTCATATTAAACAAGCATTTATTGCACACATACTAGTGAACAGTAGTAACATGAAAGAAAGGCAAAGTGGAAAAAGAAGATAGGGTTTTGATATCCTAAAAAATCCAATGTGCTAGTTAAGCAGGAGAATGATATGTAAACAAATGATGGAGAAACAACAGGATAACAGCTCTACTAATATTATGTTAAAACTGTTATAGTAGCAGAATTGAGGAAAATATCTGGCTATTGAGAAAAATCACCAAGAAAATGACATTTGAACCAGATCTGAGTTGATCAGACAGAGAATAGAGATAGATTGGTCATAGGCAGAGGAAGACTGTATAAAGCCACCAGGCAAGTGTAGGCAAGAAGTGGAAGAATGGTGCTGTACATACAGCTCATGTGAAGGTGGAGATGGAGAGAATGGACACAAATAAAGGTAGAAAGGGAGACCTGCATTAAAAGCCTTAAGTAGGATCAAATACTCAATCCAGCTGAAAAGCAATGGGGATTTTTAGAGTAAGAAAATCACAAAATTAATATTGGTTTTTAGAAATAAATATTCTAATGAATGTGAATGTGTACCAAAGACAAATATCTCAAGTCTCAAAGATCTCTTGGGAAATTCTTTGTCTCTGTGAGAGGAGAGGGGACTGGGACCCAAATCAACATAGTGACCTAGAGCTGGGAATGGGCTACGAATCACATTTTATTTTATTTTTCTGTAATACAAGTTTATTCTTACATAATGCATAGCTTCTAAAGAGTGGCGCCTGGAAAGGAGAGGTGAAGCTGCATGCAGGAGGCTCCGGGTTGGCAGCTCTGGACTGGCGGGGCACATGGTGGTTACCGGCTCTGCTTAATGTACGTGGAGATGTCAATTTCCTCTGGAAGCTCTGCACAATAACTTTAAACTAGTCCTGGATGTCATTGATGATTTTGGCATCATTCTCGTCAAACACAAAAGTGATGGCTAGCCCTTTGGTGCCAAAGCGACCCGCCGGGCCATGCGGTGCAGGTAGGTGTCTAAGTCCTCAGGCATGTCGTAAAGGCGATGTTGGTTGAATCGCTCAGTATCTATCCCTCGGCCAAAGAGATTGGTGGCCACCAGGATCCACAGTTGGAACCTTGAACTGCTGATAGAGTGACAGGCCCCCTCCTGGGCCATGTCCCACTGGATTGTGAAGGCCAGGAAGTTCTTTCTGTTCCACAAGGTGCTGGGCCAGGGTCATGCAGCGTTGCGCTGACTTGATGGATTATCACCTGGTTAAACTTCAGCACGTCCAGGAGTTCGAAGAGCTTGCGGGTCTTCTCAGTGTCTGAGTTTGAGGCAGTACTGCTGCAGTCCGTGCAGGGTGAGCTTGGTCTCGTCATCCACAAACACCTCCATGGGACCCTGCATAAACTTCTTGCACACAGGCCCGATGTCCTTGCTCAGGGTGGTGCTGAACATCCTGCACGGCTTCTCGCGCGGCGTCAGGCCGAAGATCTCCTGCACCTCCCGCCGCATGTCTAGCTGCTCCAGCATCTTGTCGCACTCTTCCAGCACAAAGGGCTTCGTGTTCTTTTGGCTGAAGCTCCTGTTTGGCCCAGACACCAGGATGTGGCCTGGGGTCCCCACCACAACATGCGGACGGTTCTTTTTTTTTTTCCCCCCATTTATTTATTTTATTGCATTTTAGGTTTTGGGGTACATGTGAAGCACATGCAAGATTATTGCATAGGTACACACGTGGCAGTGTGATTTGCTGCCTTCCTCCCCATCACCTACATCTGGCATCTCTCCCCTTGCTATCTCTCCCCAACTCCCCACCCCGCACCATCCCTCCCCTGTTTCCCCCCAACGGACCCCAGTGTGTGATGCTCCCCTCCCTGTGTCCATGTGTTCTCATTGTTCAACACCCGCCTATGAGTGAGAACATGTGGTGTTTGATCTTCTGCTCTTCTGTCAGTTTGCTGAGAATGATGGTTTCCAGGTTCATCCATGTCCCTACAAAGGACACAAACTCATCGTTTTTGATGGCTGCATAATGGCGATCATTAAAAAATCTGGAGACAACAGATGCTGGAGAGGATGTGGAGAAATAGGAACACTTTTACACTGTTGGTGGGAGTGTAAATTAGTTCAACCATTGTGGAAGACAGTGTGGCGATCCTCAAGGACCTAGAAATAGAAATTCCATTTGACCCAGCAATCCCATTACTGGGTATATATCCAAAGGATTATAAATCGTTCTACTATAAGGACACGTGCACACGAATGTTCATTACAGCACTGTTTGCAATAGCAAAGACCTGGAACCAACCCAAATGCCCATCGATGATAGACTGGACAGGTAAAATGTGGCACATATACACCATGGAATATTATGCAGACAGTTCTTCTTCAATACTTCTTCATGCTTCTTGATGGAGAGGCCCCTGAAGAACATAGACAACTTGACGCTGGACATGTACTTGGAGAAGTGCTCATATTCCTTGCTGATCTGGAAGGCCAGCTCCCTCTTGTGGCACATGACCAGGACCGAAACCTGTCTGTCGATGGGCTCGATCTGCTGCAGGGTGGCCAGCGTCTTGCCCATCTGAGGCTTGGCCTGGCACAGGACGTTCATGCCCAGGATGGCCTGGGGAATGCACTCGTGCTGGACCTCAGATGGATACTCAAAGCCACAGTCCACGATGGCCTGAAGGAGCTCTGGCTTCAGCAGAAAGTACTGGAAGCCAGAACTGTGGATGGAAATGTAGGATCCCTCGATGTCTTTTTTAGGGGTAGCCTGCGTGCTCTCTTGAGGAGCCTGGGGCTCTTCCTCTTTGTCGTAATCCAAAAGCTCGTTTTCCATATCACTTTCTTTCATGTTGCTGCCTCCCCATTCTTCTCCGCGTGCTGATGGGAGAGCCTTCTGTCTTCGGTTTTTCTGCCGGGTGCTCAGACTAAAGCACAAGAATAGCCTTAGGGCCTCATAAGATTTGGTGTGAGAAGTTGAGAAGAATCTGAGATAATGTCAAGCTTTTGAATTTAGATGGCTCTATTACTATTATGATGACTCTCAGTTACTACATGATGTAGAAAATGAGTTCTCACTAATTAGATACATCTGTTTTGAAAGCAGACCTACATTTCTAAATGAGCAAAGGACATGAGTAAACAGTGCACAGAAAAATGAAAAGAATATAAACAATTTGTGAAATAGTGTTGAACCTTAACTCAGATTTAGACTACAGGAACTTAGGAAGCCCTTGGGATCTTGGGGTAAGAATCCCATCAACTTCTCGACTTAAGAGTGTTGCCTTTAACATGATTGCGCTGCCAAAAATGCCAGTCACCATGTCTCTCATTTTAATACTGCAAATCCTTTGGAAATCTCTGATCCAGTTTCCATCAGGTGTCCACATTGGGCAATTAAGCTACAAAGGAGAGGCAAAGTTATGCAGACATTTTCGGGATGGGAGAACTATAATCATGATAGGCAATTCAAATTGGATGAGGGCAGTAAGCGGAGGGCTAGACAGATAACTCTCCCCCCAAAAAATACTGTAAATTATCATACATAAATATTTGAATCCATCTACTCACCTCAATTAAAGAGGTTCCTTTCATAAAAGTATTTGGTTAAAAACTAATTTTTGAAGCTTCTTAAAATTATTGCCGTTTCTTTTCAGAAAATTGTTCTGTTGCATCCCTTCTCCACCCCAAGACTGACTCAGAGTATGTCTTTCAGCACACTTTTTCTGAATATTGATTATTATAATTTGTTAAAATATAAATTTCAATTTGACAGGTCAAAAAACAATAGCCATTATGTTAACTTCAATTTTGTGAATGTTAGATAACCCACAAAATTTCAATAATGTCTTCTACCACTCTTCTCTTTATTGTCTTGGACTAGCTTAAGTTGCTTTCTCTTCCTTACAAACAAAATTTGAAAGGAAAGTCAAAAATGTAACATTGTCAATCTCAGACAAGTAGTGAAAATTTGAAAGTGACACATATGTGTCAACAGGAAAAAATGCCTAGATATGTTTTGTTAAATGTATAACAAAAACACATATACTTAGAAATTCATTTTCAAGCAACACTAAAATGTGCTCATGGTGCCATATTGGGCACAAAAAAAATTGTTGCAAAAGACTTTGTATACATTGCCATATAAAATATATGAAACGAATTTAAAAATTTAATTGATTAAAATGGTAACAGTTATTTCTACACAGTGAGATAACTGATTTTCTTCATTTCTTTCTTCATACTTTTCTATTTCAAATTTTCTAAGCATATGTTATCTATATAATCCATCAAGATTCCAAGGGCTGCCTGGGAATGAAAAGGAAGTGAAACATTACTCTAATAAACCCAGAGTGACATACTTAGTCCTTAAACCTGAGTTAAGGTTCAACACTCTTCCATGGGTTGTTTACATTCTTTTTTTCTTCTATGCACTGTTTGTTTATTCATGTTCTTTGCTCATTTAAAAACAGCAGGTCTTCTTTCTAAACAAATGTATCTCATTTGTAAGAACAGGAAGAAATAATTGGGGATTTAGGTTTATGTCTCTAAGTCATCAGCAGCAATGGACCTTGAAATTCTCTCAGATCTGGTAAGTAAGATAGTAGAAAGTTGCTTTACTATCTCACCAAATAGATAACAGACAGATAGGAAAATTGTTTGTCTAGTCCTTCCTTTTCTTAGGTCTTCTCAGTAGTTGTTTAGAGTCCTGTTAGAGTCAAAAATTGCCAAGTGGAAATTTTTTTTTTAATTTCTTGCGTTTCATTTGGAAATTGTAGCTATATTATGGACTAGTAATGGCAATAGCAACATCTACATATTGCTTTAAATGTAATAACTCACACATTAAACTTAGGAAGTAGGAACAATCATTATCATCACATTTATTTTTCAAATGAGGAAACTGGCCGGTGTGGCGGCTGTAACTCCAACACTTTGGGAGGCCAAGGCAAGCTGATGGCTTGAGCTCAGGAGTTCGAGACCAGCATGGGGAACATGGTGAATCCCTTTCTCTACAAAAATACAAAAAATAGTTGGGCGTGGTAGTGCACACCTGTAGTCCAGATACTCAGGAGACTAAGGTGGGGGAATTACTTGAGTGCAGGAGGTTGAAGCTGCAATGAGCTGAGATTGCACTGTTGCACTCCCACCTGGGCAACAGAGCAAGAATCTGTCTCAAAAACATGGGGAAACTGAGGCACAGAGTGTTCACGTGTCATGACTAAAGTTTCACAGTCAGTGAGTAGCACAGCCAGGATTTGAACCTAGTCAGGTAGCTCCAGAGTCCAAGTATGTCACTCTGGGTTTATTAGGGTAATGTTTCACTTCCTTTTCACTCAACTCTAAACTATTTGCCTCACTTAGCCAATGGCAAGGGGCTAACCAAATCCTTGGGAGATATGGTGTAGCACACGGAGAGTTACAGATGCACTTCTCTGAGCAGTGACCTCGCAAACACAGAACAATCTGCTAAAATCATGGAGGCAATTCTGAGAGTAACAGAGCCTGGAAAGAGCTTGAAACTTGGAGGGTGCCAAAAGCCTAGAGACAAGGTAACAGTGGCCCTGTGAAAGAGTTCCATATACACCACCCCAGAAAAGTCAATTGAGAACTGAATGGATGTGCTGATAATTGATCTCCTCTGAGACTGGGCCAGAAACTGATGCCTTGGCAGGTGATCAACAGACTAATGCCATCAATAACACAGACATATAATTGCCAGCATGTGTGGTAGACTACAACAGCTAGACCTATATTTTAATGTATAGTTGACCTGTGAATAGCTGAGGATGTGGGCTCTGGAATAGTTGGTTTGTACTTGAAAACCACACCCCTTGGAGAGGGATTCTTTCCAATGACAGGAGTAAGCAGCAAGAGAGGCAGAGAAGGCCAAGGCAAGGTGACTTGGACACATTTTTTAGTTGTCCAGAATAAGGCATGGCTAGCCTAAGGCTGACATTAAAACATCAAGTGTATAGAAGCCAGAAACATAATTAATATAACTTAGCTCTTGTGAGCCAAAAAATAAAAATAGCAATTCATTTAGGGGTCCCCAACAAATTAAGAGAAGGAAAACAAACAGAACTCACTCTGCATTAGATAGAAATGATGGAATATTGGATTAAAATATGAATACAAATTGAAAATCTATATATCTATATAGATATATCTATATCCATCTATATCTATATCTATATCTATATAGATATCGATAGCTATATATCTATATCTATATCTATAGATATCTATTATATCTATATCTATATCTATAGATACTATAGATATCTATATCTATATAGTCAGCCATGCATGATATATATATATATATATATATCTGTCTAGATAGATATAAATAGATATATCTATCTAGACAGATATATCTATATATAGATCTATCTATATCTATATATAGACATCTATATCTATATATCTATATCTATATATCTATATAGATAGATATAGATATATCTATATTAGAGATAGATATAGATATATCTATACATATAGTCAGCCGTGCATGACTCCAGGCTCTATCTGGCATTTTGGAGGCTATGAAACAGGGAGTAGCAACTACAGAAACCCAATTAGAGACACAATATGAATGAATCCAATTAGAGACACAATAAAGCATGCAAGATATAGCAGTGAATAAAAATCTTCGACATTTATAATTACACTATATTATATACACGATTATCTACATGCATATTTTACATGAAACATTATCAAATCTACATGGATAAATGTAGACCAAAAGTATATAGTATAAATGCCAAACAAGCATTCCTAAAGATCAAAAATTTACTATTAAAAGCACTCATCTAGATCAAGAAAAGAAATGGTAGGGAGGGGCGGTCGGTTAGCTCAGTTGGTGAGCGCCTGGTGCTCAGTGTCCAAGGTCGCGGATTCAATTCCTGCACCGGCCTGCCCAAGCATTTTTAAAAAATAAAAATAATAATAAAAAAGAAACGGTAGGGACGAGGGGAAAGTAAATTTTCTAAAGAGCTTACCTTATTGGTGTAGTTGGGGAAAAACAGTGGAATCAAATCTGTGGAAATAGTGTTAAGAGTTGCACTGTAATCCCCCAAAATTCATATGTTGAAGTCTTAAGCCTGACAATGTAATCTTTTTGAAAATATGGTTGGTGAAGAGGTAATTTGTTAAGATGAGGTCATACTGGGATAGAGTGGGCCCTTAATCCAATATAACCGATGATCTTATAAAGAGGAGACACATGGACACAGACATACACACAGGGAGAACACCATATGAAAAGAAATTCAGAGATCAGCATGATGTATCTACAAGTCAAAAAAAAAAATGACAAAGATTGCCAGGAAACCACCAGAAGCCAGGTGAGAGGCATGAGACATATTCTCCCTCACAGCCTCAGAAGAAACCAACCTTGAAGACAGCTTGATTTTGGACTTCTAGCCTCTAGAAATATGAGAAAAAAATTTCTGTTGTTTAAGCCACCCAGTTTGTGGCACTTTGTAATGGCAGCCCTAGCAAGCCGAAACACTAAGTAATATGAAAGAGCAAGTTGGTATCTTGCTTCCAGATATTAGCAAAAATAAAATGGATCTGATTACATATAAAATCAAGAAAGTGAAAATGTGAAGACCAATAGAATGAAAAATAAAAAATAGAACCTCTAAAGGAACAATCACAACTTGATTATCAAGTAATATAAAGGAGTGAAACCCCATCTCTACTAAAATACTAAGGAATTAGCTGGGTATGGTGGCAGGTACTTGCAATCTCAGCTACTTGTGGGGCTGAGATAGGAGAATCACTTGAACCTGGGAGGCAAAGGTTGTAGTGGGCCGAGATCATATCACTGAACTCCAGCCTTGGCAACAAGAGAGAATTTCACTCTTGTTGCCAAGCTAAAACGGAAAGCTAAAAGGGAAACAAAAACGCTTAGTAAAATCAAATATATCATTCACTATTCTAAATGTAAACAGAATGAACACTCTTCATAAAACAGAGATAGTAAGATTCAATTTTTAAAACACTGAACCTTATTTGCAAGAAACATGTTATTGTAAAAATTAAAATTATT